TAGAAAGTGATATCGTGACTGTTACAATACACAGCCATTACTAACAAGTTAAGTATGATACAACATAACATACATCATGTACATTACATCAGCACTTTGAGTTGCCTTGTGCATGAATTGTGCTACACAAATAAACTTGCCTTGCCTTGCCTTAAAACATATTACATGAGCTTTATATTTCCATTAACAATTATTTCATACAGAATTAGAATTATTGTATTGCCATTGTAAGTAGAAGGAAGTCAAAAAGGATAATAGGAAATAGGAATTTGTTTGGCTCAAGGTGCAACAAGTTATAAAAGTAAAAACATATAGATATAAAGGCATGCATTAAAAAAATCTTGAATATTCTCTTAAAATGTCTACTTCTACTGTATCTAATATACAAGTGCACGGTAAGTACACACAATAGACATTTACCAGTTCAGTTATAGTGACAGTAGAATAAGGCGACGGTCGTAAAGGGCAGGGGTCAGAGATGATGAACTGCTGAGGGGATAAAAAAGTTCTTAATAGCGCCCATTTAAAAAATAGAATCTATTATAAATTACCAAAAGTGCTTAAAATGTCTTTTGTGAGCAGGCGGCTGACACCTGAAAATAACTTGAATAACTGCAAAATGATGACTTTCTTATACCCAGACGGACAAAGCCCTGAACATCGTCTTATGTAACGCCCTAATGTGTTGGTGACAGGAGTAAGACGAGGGCTGTCTGAGAGCGCGGCGCGGAGGAGGAGGCTGCGGCTATAATCATCCCTCAGGTCACCAGTAATTACAAAGACCACAGCACAAACACAAACACACTCTTCTACTTTCACCTCTTTTTTCATTTTCTCCTATTTACTCTGCAAACACAACATATCTTTAGAACAAGGGAAAGTACAAAGAATAGACTACTCCTGGAATATAATGTCAGCCACACTAGTTCAGGGACCACATATGTATTGGAATTCAGTATTTAGTTTGGAAAGTAACTTAAAGCCCATCCATCCATCCATTTTCTACCCTTTAATCCATTTCTGGGTCGGGGGGGTGGCAGTCAGAGATGCCACCCAAGTCTCATAGCACCAGCCCCTCACTGACCCTCTGCAGGTGGTGAGTCCACAGGAGGACGGCTGCTCTCTGAGTGTGAGCATAGCCTTGATCTTTCAGTGGGGGCTTTGGGCAAAGTGGGGTTAAGTGTCTTGCCCAAGGACACAACGACAGCAGTCATCAGTGGGAGTCGGTGGAGAAGGTGCAGAGGTGGGAATTGAACCCACGACCCCACCTCTGCACCTTCTCCACCGACTCCCACTGATGACTGCTGTCGTTGTGTCCTTGGGCAAGACACTTAACCCCACTTTGCCCAAAGCCCCCACTGAGAGATCAAGGCTATGCTCACACTCAGAGAGCAGCCGTCCTCCTGTGGACTCACCACCTGCAGAGGGTCAGTGAGGGGCTGGTGCTATGAGACTTGGGTGGCATCTCTGATTGCCACCCCCCTGACCCAGAAATGGCAAAAAGGGTAGAAAATGGATGGATGGTAACTTAAAGCATGCACTGCAAATACATAATCAGAATAATAATATGTAGGCACATTTACTGTTTACTATTTTGTTTTGTTCTTCTTTTGTTCAATTTAATGAAACAGCCCTATGTGTTTCAAAGTCATTTCTTTGAAGATGTTGTCCAGGAACAGCACTTGAGCTTTGTTTCGGTCATGTATATTATAACCCCATATTCACTGACCGGTCGATCACTCAGAAAAATTATTGTGCAACTAATTTTACCTGTGATTGCTAATTACAGCCGCAACAATATTTAGTGTGGATGTACCAATATGATACTGGTGTTTGATTTTAGCATCTCATTGGATTATGAATGTTCTATAAACTAACTCAATGAATGTAAAGAGACCGTTCACCTGGTGATATTAACAAATGAAGTAATAGTTTTACAAAGTTGTGGAAAAATGCTGATGACTGATCCAGGTGCATCCTGAAAGAACAGACAGTGCTATGGTCTCTTTGCAAACAGTCATCAAGACTTAAAACTAGATTTACCAATGGAAGAAAAAATGTCATATTTTAAGGACAGCAGTGTTTGTTCTCATTGTCCCATGAGAACATTTAGTTTTAAGACTAAATATCAAGATAAGCGTAACCTAATTCAAGCAATATTTAACTTTTAGTTTTAATCTACCTCAATCAGTCTTGAGCCTGGCTAATCAAGGGCTTCATAAAATTGGCTGTTGTAGAACGCAGACCTACACAGAGAAGGGCATTGATTCAAAACATTCCTCAATCCGGATCACCTCCAAAATCTAATAATTTGGTCCTTGTCCCATTTGGCGGAAGTAACTAAACAACAATTACTATGTGCACCACTGAAAGCAAAAAGATGTCGATATTCAAATGTGATTTTTAAACAGAAGTCAAATGAAAAAAAGGCAGTAAAAAGTAATATCAATACAGGAATAAGTAGCAGAAATGACAGTACTTCTATTGTGTAATTATATTGCAGTACATTTAACTGGACTCATTTGTCAGATACACATATTTATTCCACTTCTGTCAAGCCAAGCACACCTACTGTTACATCTAATCCTAATTAATTCTTGTATAAAGTCAGGAAGCTGTTGTTACACACCTAATGTTGACATTTCAGACACTGTGCGGGTAGATCTCCGGTAGGTATTTGTTTCTATTTCAAAGTCTCTGCCCTGAGTTTAGCCTCCCAGGCAGACTCCACCCCCACCTATCTCACATCGAGGATCTCAGCAGGCACTTAGGCATATCTTTAAAAAATCATTCTGATTTAGAGTAGGCTTATTCCAAATGTTGCCAGTATCACAATAAACGCATCAAAATGGTAAAAATATTGATCTTCCAAAGTGTCACTTTGGAAAATGTAAATGGGGCAAAATAATTTTATCTTTAACATTTCTTTCTAATATATAGACTTTCCCAAGTTTACAGAACCATGAATGGGTCACATTTGCCTATTCTGCCCAAAGGATTAGGACACAGTGGTCCTCGATTGGATTATCTGTGCCCATGAAGTTGCAGCTTCACAAACTTCAAGAACCTGAATGATTATTGCCTCATTGTTTTTCAAACGCATAATACAACTTTATATTACAAATTGATGCAATGTCTACGTGATCATTATCTAAGCTATACTTTTTGGGGTTGTATAAAAAAAAAATGCAAGTAGCTATATGAAAATGTGGGTTACCGTGTCTGCTACAACCGTTTAGATTAAATTAAGAACTAGAAAATCATCATTGTTGTCATCATTCAAACCCTGGTCAAAACATGGAGATAATTAGGATACTATTCCAATCAGAACCATGAGAGAAACCCTACCAGAACATTTAAGATTAAGATTAAGAATAATCCTTTATTCGTCCCACATTTGGGACGAATTCAGTTCAAAGACCACTGATGTGAACATTATAGTCTGTTCACCATGTGTATGAAACAACCGATGCTTTGAACAGTCCCTTTAACCAAAATCAAAACTGGATGGGCACAACTTCCTCAAACTACATCAATATGTTTAGACATATATGTTTGACATATCAGAGGTGTTGTAATTATTTGGTTCTATCTTTATACACATATAAAGATATTATATATTATGATATAATATATAATTTATGAGCAATACATATTTTCACTACTCATTCAAACCACAAGAATTTAAACCCAACTGATGCAAGAAAAAAGTTAGCCACGACACCAGCCTTTTGTATAATTAGTCTCTGAACCAGTAAGAAGTGTGCGTAATTTCATTTAGAATTGACTTCTTGCCCTCCATTACATCCCTGCGGAAAACTCAATCTCTGCAGAGTCGAGGGCTCCTCTCGCTTTAATAACAGCTAAACACATCAACACTAGCTTTTTTTCCAATGCCCTCCAAGCCGTTAGGAACAGAATACGAGATGGAAGTTTAATGAAAAGAGCTTTAATAGAAGAGCAAGGCAAAGGTGGCTCAGAGGCCTGCTGCTGTTTAATTCAATGGGATGCTCCCGATGCCTCAAGACTGGCCCATTTTAATTGCACAGCTCTCTCATTTATAAAAGGGGAAGTATGTGGCGATACAGCTTTAATGAATCTAAAAGCAAAGGCAGGCTATTCAGTATCTTTCCCTCACAAGCGAAGCAGCCTAATGTGATTTTGCTGCTTAGGCCCACATGTTTTGGCAGAGTTTTTTCCCAGTGACATGCAGACACAAGCCTAAATGTGCATTTGGAGACAAGAAAGGGAAGCACTATCACTGTGTCGATGTGCATTTCACACCAAGAATAATGCAAGCTCTTAATATACCTTGGTGCATATACATGATAGGTACAGCCATTGCCAGAGAGAGTGACAATTTTGTTGGCAGAGGTTTCTTATGTATTCTTAAGGATGTGGAGAAATCATAAGGGCTTTTTTAAGGATGGTTAGTCAAGCTGTCAAATTGTTAGCCAAGCTGTTAAATTGTATTTGGGTTTGGATCATGTAGTATTTACAGATTGAGTCCAAACAACTTTCCCTGGTGGGGCAATGCACAGTTGCAAGGGAAGAGTCTAATGTATTCCATCATAAAGAACAGGAGATGCAAGGTCAAACCCATGGATAGTCCTACATTAGTGATGCACGGCAAGGGGAAAAAGATTGTGGCTTATTCTAGGAAATAGTGGCTTTTAAATGCGGTTAATTGTTATATAAATATGTATGTGGAATGTCTATAAAAAAACGGGATACAGTGTGAGAGGAAAGCCTCTTTGGTCCATTTTACTCGTCTTTCCAGGATGTGATCAATAATCTCATCATGACCATAGTTGTTAATCAATAACTCCATCATAGCTGCGCTCAATATATTTTGATATAATCAAAGCTGCAGCTATCAATCTCACACAAGCTCATGTTAACAGTGAGAGACATATGGCAAAGCTACTGCAATATCCTTGAACAAGACCTAGATAAATGTAAATGCACAATCACAATCTTTGACCTGAGAGGTGATTTACCTTGGCCATCTGTGCTTGGACTCCACTGGCTTTTAGTGAAGCCACTGCCTTCTGCGCCGCCGCGGGGCTGTCAAAGTCCACAAAGCCATAACCTACACACAGAAGAGGGAGAGGGTCAGCAGGACGTGGCAAATCAGCTCACAAGACAAATGATATAGGAACTGCACATGCACAGGCCGAAGCCAGTGAGCCACATTTAGTTTGTGTCAAATAGCAGCATCTTATAAATCAAAGCAGGTGTCATAATGAAGTCAAGTCATCATTAATTTAATGACAGATCTCACAGATGGGTGTCAAATGAAACCTGGAGGATGTGACAGCTTTCACATGAAGCATTAAGTTTTGACGGAGTACTGGCACTAAAAAGTGTAAATTAGAGAAAATGGATTCTGTCAAAGTTTGACATAGACTAAAATGAACACAAATCTCCAGATTTTACATGATGTAATTGTAATAGTGACTTTGGTTTTCAACACTCAGACCAAATGGATACATGGAATACAAGGAATAAATAACCTGTGCTCTTCTAAAACGGTGATGCTTATCTGTACTGGGGAATTTCTGTTCTCAGGTTCTCCACACAGTAATTAGACATGAATTATTCTACATTTAATAAAAACAGCAAATTTGTCTACCTATAAACAACCAACCAACAGCACATTTTGCAGATATAAATTATAAATCACTTTTGCTGCCTGTTCTATCAAACCCTAAATATCTATCATGTGAATCTAAATCTTACCATAAAAATACTACAGGTTTATTAGACTGCAACCCTCACAGGCTTTCACTTCCAGTGCATGCTGCTGGCTTCAGTGAAATTACCTCTACGTTTTCTTAATGAATGTGCATGTTTACGCATAGTTAATATGGCACAGTTTCAAAGCCTCCTCATCACGAGCCTCTCTCATGCCCTACTTTTCACATACTACAGCCGCAGTAGTGTAATCTAATAAACACTGTTTCATTCATTACATGTTCAAAGATCTGCCAATAACAAAGACAGCACTAAATGTAAAATTAAAAGTAAAAATACAAGCAAGTATATGGAGTGGGGTAAAATTACACATTTAAAACAATTATTTACACAAAGTTAATATCTCTAAGTTCCCACAGTCTCCTAGATGCCTCCTTGGAGTGGTGTTCTGGATATGTCTATAAGGAGGCAGTGGGGCTTGGGAAGTTCTGGGAATGTCCCCGGATTTCCCTGTAAGAGCTGGGGGAAGTCTGGGTATGGGAAAAAGCAGAGGAAAATAGACATGTGGCACCATGTCCATAACTTGTTTATTATCAGCGTTAAAACAGACCAAATTATGTGATTTCAAATATGTATAGTTACTTAGATGGCCCTGACCTTGCAACAACAAACAGCTACAAAGGATTTTTCTGCAGATACCCCGAAAACGAAAACCATTAGCCCCTTACATACAGCACACACAGTCAGAATAAATGGTGTGAATCTAGATCTTCTCCGTCTTTGAATCAATAAAGTCTGTGTAACTTCAGTATTCTGAGTTGGAAAGTAGCAGTGTCATCTCCTGTGCAGAGGGGGGCAAGGACGTATCACAGCAGAGAACAGAGAAACAATGTGAGAATGCTTCAACAGACCTTATAACCATGATTGATCACATCAAGAGCCGCACGCGGCAACTTTTGTAATGACCTTCTCCCACTCAAAGATTATGGACTGGCCGTGAACTGACCTCAAGAAAAGAACATGCCCCAAAGACAGCCCCAAAATCTCTCTAAACTAGAAAACCAGCATAAATAAGATCAGATAAAAATGCCTCAAACTAGATGTAGCTAAGCCAAGCTAAATAGGTGTATTATAATAATAATAATAATGCACTGATACACTACTTTTGTAGCCACAGCTGCCCTGGGGCACACTGACAGAAGCGAGGCAACCAGTAACCCTCCGACCACCACCAACCATTCACAAACACACCAGACTCATTCTGGGGTGAAGTGTCTTGCCTAAGGACACAACGGCAGTTTGGCACTTTACAGCCGCAGCCGCCCCACTGTGGCATCAGGTGTTCCCAGAGGTTAAGTGTCCTGCCAAGGACACAACGACAGCAGACATCAGTGAGAGTCGATGGTGAAAGTCTTGAGGTGGCCTCTAATCTATCAACTGAACTACTGTCGCCTCTAGTTGTTTAAAACCAATGTTTAAAACCAGGTTAAAAACAGTTCTGTTTAGCTGTGCATACAACTGAGGTATTTTATATTTTTATCTTTCTTTTTAATGTTTTGTGATTATTTATGATTTTAATGCTATTTTGTTTTGTTCAGCACTTTGAGTTGCCTTGTGTATGAATTGTGCTATACAAATAAACTTGCCTTGCCTAGTTATTATAATAACACTGAAATTGAATGGCAATTTTTTCTGATAAATCTGGTTTTTAATGCCATGCCTTTTGACATCAATCTTTTATTCAACAATCCATCAGACAAAAAATAATAATTTAAGGCAAATCCAAATACAAAATAACACCATGAATGACTGTTGATTTCACTCTTATTTGGTGGTCCATGAATGTAATAATGGAGAACCCTTGGCTTAAATACTATCATTAAATAATATCAGAGTGATATAGTGAGACTACCAATTCTTGAGACAGAATAGTCCATTGGTTCTGGTGAGGTCATTTTATTCCCATACCACTCTAAATCTGTCAGCATATAATAGTTCTCCTATAGCCACGGTCAATACTATATGGCTCTCTAGCAAGAGACAACAAGAAAAATCCACCCACTAATGCTGCGATTAAAATGATTCAGCGTCTTGTTCAAAGAAATAAAGCAGGGAGGGGAATGGGATTTCATCAGTCTCATGGCGTGAGAGTGTGGCCAGTATTTGTCAAATTGTTGATGAAATGGGGATGTGCTCTACAGTTACACCCAACAGGAAGCACAGAAGGACAAAAAGTCAGAACACACTAAAATCAATCTTCACTTGCAGTAACTCTCACAAATGCGGCTTGACAGAAAAGACAGAAAAAGAAAAAAACTAAAGTACTTGTATTTTTACTTGATCTCAGTACATGCATTGAAATGACATCTGTTATGAGTTGGGGTACACAATCAAATATGCACATTTCTAATCACATATCACGTTTCCAAATAACAGCTAGTAGCAGCGAAAATACACAGACATGATTTAGGACATCTGTTCTTTTCAACTTCTCCCAAGAAGGAAGCCATGTTTTTCTGATAAGCACATTTTTTTGTTTTTGTTCAAAGGAAACAAGCTGTGTTCAGACTGAAATCAGCACCACGCACACTAATATTTACACTTGTGCTAATAACAAACTTATTGCACAAACCATACTTGTATGCAATATTAATACAAAGTCAGCTGAGTATGGAAATGTTTCTAAAAAAATAATTCAAAGATAATTAGGAGTATGAAACCCACGCTTTTTTTAGCATTAAAAACACATTGCATATAATGAATTATCCAAATGTTTAAGGAAAGATGCACATTTTTAGTTCTATACTTGAATCTGTATGATTGCACAATTCAATTCAATTCCATTTTATGTTGGTTGGTGTAGCCCTTAATCACAACAGCAGTCATGTTGGAGAACTTGCCAGCTCAGATCAGAGAATCATACAGTTCAAACACAGGAAATGCAATAATAACGAAGACCAATGTCTAAAAATGTTCATAAATGTTTGTTGGGTTTCACTATTCTAGATAATACACTGACTTTACAGCACAGAAGCAAAGGCAGACTTTGACTGTGACTGGACTGAAAAAGTGGATCAGACCAGACTTGACTGGACTCTTTTTTATATTTAATTGCATATATCGAGGAAAATAAATTGTACACACTACAATGGTGGAAAACCTAACTTGTTGGTCACGTTTTGAGAACAATCAGACCACAACATGTTATTTTTTTCTTTTACTGTGTGTGGGGGATTTCTCTTTCTCTGAAAAAGCTGATCTAAATATGTGCGAGTCCAAAACTACATGGATTTGAAGTGAAAACATGCAAGTGATAGCAAGTGTCTTGAGAGCTAGAAACTCTGCTTAGATGGGTTTTATTACATAGTTCATGTGTGGTTTTAAAGTCACTCAAGGTTTAATTTACGTAACACATTAACATTATGTATTGGCAGTTCTAAGTCATCAGCTTCTTATATTTAAGAAAAAGCTTGTGTTCCCTCAGAGAAGGTCAAGAAATTCTGCCTCTCTCTCGGCTGCAGTGGTTTGAAGGACACTTGAGCTGATGGACAGTTTCCTCCATCACTCCTCCCACACTGACCAACCTAATATTTACACATTTACATTTAGAGCTGCCCTCTTGAGTCGGATGCAAATGACACTGGATTGAATAATAAGGATATTTTCAGGAAACGGCGAGCTGAGATTAGACTCATCTGCGGCCTTTCCTTCCCATCTGCGCCTCATCCACATACTCACATCAAATCCATCTTGCTCAGTCAGCCCTGTCAGACGCATCAGTTATGAATATAAAATGATAACAAAGCACACGCAGATCTTCATACGCCAAGCAGATTTACACAACCAGATAAACACACACGACCAGATATACACACACACTTCTGTAGTACCATCTAATCTCCAGAGCAGAAAAGTCCAGGCCACAGGCTTGAGACCAGACTAGTGCAAGGAGGAAGAAAGGGGCACTGACAAACAGGAGACATGCAGACTGCGTAAGGGAGGGAGCTTGTCTTTGGGAAATGGAAATCCTTTACAATCTAAAGTGGTTTCCTCTCCCATCCTCCCTCCCCAACGTCCTCTGTGGCCCCTGTCTCCCTGTGTGCTCCCACGCCGTTAACTAGAGAGTAGGAAGGGTATTTAGCATTGAGCTCGCTACAAAGCTCTGGACTTACATAGAAATACAGAAGAACCTGACTGCCTCAGGTTCTAAAGATGCATTTGAAACATGTAGGTAAAAAGACACACACAATTGCTAAAATGATTCATAAGAATTTAAATACATTTATATTATGGTAAATCATATAAAATTGATTTTCATATTTTCAATACAATGTTTAATATTTTACCCAACGCCTTAATAAATGTCAAACACAGCTCGACTTTCTTATAGACAGTAATAAATGTCGTTCACTAGTCGCCATGGAATGTTCCTCAATAAAGCTGGCTGTAGGCGAATTTCTCCTTTCCTCAAGTTTGGCGAGGCATAGCTCGAGGGCAAGTCGCATAACCTTGTCATGTGTGCAATATCAGTGAAGTTTACAGCAGTGAGGCAGTGTGCCTCTTGAAAGCACTAAAACACCTTGAACTTTTGAGATTTTTGTCATGTTTACAGGAATTTGTCTTGTACTTTATACTAAAGTAAACTATTCACACACAAGAAACATACAACTGTGAAGTGAAAGTAAAATGATGTGGGACTGGGTGAAGTATATATCAAAAATGTATATCACAATATGAGAAGAAAACCCGATAATAATGACGATAGAATTCACGGCACTGAGCAAAATCTTCAAAACTGCACAATTGTATTAAACAAATAATTGTAATACATCCATCTTCATCACTCTCTGTTTGGCTCCATTACGAGCTTTCACATGCATGTATTTTTGGACTCAGTTTTTTCAGGCAGAAAAGTGAGAAAGAGAGGGCCAGTAAAAGATACAATGTTTTCTATAAGATAACGACAGCATGTTGAGGACTGATTAGTTTTTTTTCTTTGGCTGATTGTGAGAGGTGGCAATCTATTTTTCACTGATAAAGCTGATCTAGAGATTTGAGAGGCCCAAAATATATGTGAAAATGAGTGATAGAACCAAACTATTTTGAGAGCGACAAACTAGTTCAGATTCATACTGTCCATCAAAATGAAACAGTATTATATCGGCCAGCCCTAGACCACAACACCTTCTTCAACACTTCTTTCCTGCAACTGCATGTGCTACAAATAATTATTGCAATTGTCCGTATTTCTGTGGTCTACTCACTTTGAAAACACACATACAATTTTTAAATCTTCGAGTGAAGCTTCCTGCTGGACAGTGTGGTAGAGCTGGAAAAGATATATACTCTAGATTTATCTTCCATTAAAACAAAAAGTCAGTATGCAATATAATAATAATAATAGCAGCTATAAACTTTATTTTTGTCTCGCTCTCACTTTGTTTGTGAACTTTTCTTGCGTGGAGGTGGCTGTCTCCTTCTAAATCATTAATTTCAAAGACTTCCTTTTCTGTCAACTCTAGACTATTTTTACTGTGGCTCCACCTCTTGGAGCCACCTCACATCCATGCTTTCCTCTCCAGCAGAACTCTATGTGCCAATTTGTACTCTCTTAGTCACGCTAGGCACTTATCTTGTCCCAACTGAATGCCTCCGCAATCAAACCAACACTTACCCGGTTGTAAGGCACCCTAATGGTCGGCCGATAATGAAACTCCTCATTGTGAGTTAACAACTGGCTGATGTAGAGATGTATGCAAACGACATCACAACAAAAATATAATGCTGATGAAGGCCACATGCTGCACAAACGCTGGTGCAGCGTTTCTCCAGATTAAATAATGAGTTTTTGTTGGAGGATGTATGGCTTTTGCATTCAAGAACAGCCAGTGTGATGTTTAGTATTCATAAAGCCTGGAAGTCTGGCACACAGCCCTGGTATCAGATCTATAGCACTGGCACCAATCGCACAATACACCTACCAGCTACTTTAACAAACATGAATACCCTTGTCGTCAGCATGGACTTGGAATACAGATTGCACAAAAAATGCTGCGTTTATGTTACATTTAAAAATGGGCAGAAATGTGGAGTTGACTCCGCCAGCAAATTAACTGTTCAAACACTGTTGAGGAAGTCGAGAGGACAGGCTCTGGGATCAGGCAGATCGGTTCTCGGTTGACAATTGGCATAATACTCATTTATAATACAATATAATAATGGCACTGAAATGTGCCCTGTGCAGACATATGTGCGCCGAACGTGCCGCTGAGGCGTCTCTTGGGGATTCCCACGTATATGTGCCCTTGGAAAATGGAAACACTTTTGGACTCACTGTTTGTTCTTATGTTCTGTGCTGATTAAAGGAGAGCTCTGTGCATCACACACAGACGGGTGGAGGAGCCTTTGTTAAAGCAGAAGCAGACATAGCTTTACTTTCAGGTATCATAATACATTATTATCATTTTAATTGACTATTGACTATATTAAAATATTCAAATTACATTTGAGAAACAAAATCTTGTAAATTGAGCACAGTAGAAAAAAAAAATAAAAGGTAAAAGGTAAAAAGCACACGTAAATGCTGGTTAAGAAATGAGTGCAGGAGAAGATCCCATTTGACAAACAGCACATGCAGATAAGCTCTTGTTTCCAGTCCGTGCAAGCATCCTCTATCAGTTGCTTCAAAGTTACATTTGATGGAAGGATGTTTGATGTTATTATGATAAAATATGACTCTTTTGAGCGTGACCCTCTCACATCACAATTTTTGATAATATTAGTCATTCTGTAAAGCCCTGAATATATGATGTTTGGAGCAGTTCCAATGAGTGTTTTTAAGTAGTGGGGAATGTCTAAATGTATTTGGTAAGGATATAAACAAAAAGGAAAAAAAAATGTAACACCACAGAAACTGGGGAACTTCGCTTAAACAAGTCTTTTGCTTGGTCCAGAGTCCAGCCCAAGCCCTCCTGACCCTAACCCAAGTGATTTGAGTAAATCCTTGCTTTTGTTCTTTTTAAATCTAAAAAAGCCCTCTAACATTCTAAACTGCAGTATTATGATGTTCCTAAACTGTATGATCTGCTTAAACAAATGTTATATTCTTACACGCCATGGCCTTCCTCTAAACACCTTTGAGCTGCGCTTTGGCAGAAGAGCAGTAATCGCACAACACACCGGCTCTCTGCGCCTCTCCAAAAGCAGACGACTACAATCACATTGATTAGTGCTTTGTTCGGACCACTCCAACAATCAAACCATCCTCATCACCACACACTTGAGAGGCTCCGAGTCTATTCGCACCACATTGTTAATACTGTATGGTGTTCTCCATTTTGATTTGCTCAGTGACAACAATGGCGACATCTTGATTTTGAAAGCTGTTTTATGCTGAGTGCCATTAGGCAGTGATGCTGGTGTCATGGAAAATGGTAAGAACTATATTAAGGGACTCGAGACATTTTAAATTTTCTTGTTTCACATAACTGCACACGGTCAATAACAAACACAGGGTAAAGCACAGTGAAAAATCGATTCTAACATATATAAGCTATGGTCAACCACAACATGGATACATTGCAGCAATTAGGCAAAGTCACAAGGAGGAAGTGATCCATAACAAGAAAAGCACTCCCCGTATTGAGCTACAATTGCATCCATTAAGCTGCCATGTTCACTCCACTTACACACAAAAGCTTACAAACTGGAACTTTTGCATCTTGTTACAAATCAGGAGTTTGGAAGTGTAGCTTAACGTGTACTTACCTTTGCACTGATTTGTATTCTTGTCGAGGATGGCCTTAGTTGATACAATCTTCCCATATCTGTAAAAAAAAAAGAACAGAAGTTTATAAAAAGGTGAACACATACATATTCAATAACAATCGCCACAAATGTAAAGATCACTATCACAATTTTGGCCGATAATAAAAAATCTGCATTTGAAAGTAAAAGCATGAAGGCCTGCATGCTCACTGGGAAAAAAGAAAGACAAACATTCAGCTCTCTTTGTGTTTTCACATACTGTAGCTGTAATAATTTGGCTGTAAACATAGTTTTCATTATATTACATTTAAAAACTCTCCTTTTCTCTTCTATAATCTGTTCTCCTCAGTTGTTAAGCATTTACTGGATGGTGTTCAATCTTTATAAAGTTCTGGTATGAACAGAGCAAATGAATGGATGATACTCGGATTCATTTGATATGTATTTTGCATCTTTTTGATTTTAATAGAAAAACAATTAAACATATTCTCAACAATCAAAATTGATCAATATGGGTAAGATAACACAAATAACATTGTATTGTAATATTTGGATTCCCTTTTTTCTTTTTCATCATCAGCCTTATATAGAAGCCGAGTTTTTCACACATAATCCTCTAATAAGGAGAGTAGTAAACCTGCTTTGGAGGACTTGCAGGATGTAAATGGTAATGTTATGATAATTATATGTTGATAATATGTTTTACACCAGAGCACAGTATATTTGTGTAAGTGGAGGCGAATAAAATCTGGAAAAAAGGAGAGGATGCACAGCAGATATAAGAAATATTGTGCTTACGCAACACTAAAAGAGTTTCTTACAGTTTCCGATCACCACCTCTATCCATCGTGTCCTTATCTGTGCCATATCAGATACCAGCCTCAGGCTTATGCCTACAGACACTGCTGTATTTCATAACCTGCAATTTAACCAATCATCTGTGAGCCAGGCGATCCAGAGTCAGACAGCCCCCATATATCTCTCCATCTGCCTGCCATTCATTCCTCCCATAGCTCAGTGCGTTCCTTCTTTGTGACATCTCTGCTTCAGTCTTTGTCTTCCTTTATTCCGCTCCCAATCCCACTTCTATTCTGCCGCAGCGCTCTGCTCTCTCAAAGAAGAAGTTAATAATGTTTCTTATCAGCGTTGTCTTTGAGTCTTTCCCAATAGAGAGGTTGGAGGAGAACCGAGGGAGACAAGGTAGAGCAGAGGAAAGGAGGGGAAAGAAAGAATGTGACTAGAGCATCACCTGGCTCTACAGATGAGACTTTTTAATTAATGTTTAGCAACAGTGCACAATGGCTGGGTTTAGAGGTGTGACGATCAGGCGGAGTGACAGGCTGACAGGCTGACTGACTCTCCATCGACCCCAGGTGCACGGTGGAAGTGGCTTGGTGAAAAGCAGGAGACAGGAGTGATTGAGAAATCAGGCAAGAATACAGTCAGCAATGTTTGTTCAGAAAGCGTTCCATAAACCGAGCTGACCTGTACTTTACATTTACTCACAACATCATCATGTGTACAAGGTATTAAAAGCTGTACTACTTTTCAGATACATGACAAGTCTCCATATTTTATGTATTATTTTGTATTAATAGTACAGTATCAGTACAGTGTTCAAAATTCTTTATCTACAGGGATGAAAAAATAACTTACTATACATAAATACTAGAACAATATATCCAATGCTAAAACATGGGATGTAGTAGTCTCCCTCTTGAAACTGCCTTCAGTTCAATTTGATTATTTCATTATGATTAACTCATATCTGGGAATGAATATGCAAAAACATGTTACGCCTGCACTTTCAAATTTTTACATATGCAAAAAAATAACTTGCATTCCTCAACTGTCCTGGTGGTGACCCGTTCTTTGTGAAGTTGCCTGCTTCTTGAGTATTGAGATAAATGTGCTACTCTGTTTGATTTGACCCAATTATGGGTGATTTCAGTGCTTTAAAAAAAAAAAAGTATAGTGAGAAGACTTGCCGCTCCTCACATACGACTTGTAACGTAGCTGAGTGAGTCTTGGGTTAACATTTAGATTGACCCAAGCAAAAAGCAGGCCCGCCACCTAGAACGCAACTTTTATTAAAGAATAACATAAAATACAAATGCAGATGGTGTTACTAAGATCTACTAATATTTTTAAGTAAATGCAGGCCTTTAGTTATATGTGGGAGAGAGGACAGTTCTGACGCATTAGCAACTGCAGAAGTGAAAGAGCAGTCAGTCAGGAGATAAAAGGCAGCAATAGAAGAGGCAGCAGAGTGGAGTGAAGCGATGGAGAGATAGTAAAGAGGTGTTTAATAAAGAATAATTTAGTCATCAGCATATCAGAAAGTGTGCGTGTCAGAAAGAGACGGACTGACAGACATCCTCAGGGACAGCAGCTGCAAGAGTGAAGAACAATGGTCCTGAAAAGGCTCCATCCGCACACTACACCACAGATGAGCGGCTTATGATCGGCAAATCATGGTGTTTGCAAACCAATAATCAAACAACTGCTCATTTTTTTGAAAGAATTTGTTTATATTTTTCAGAACGCTCGCAAAAATTACACATTGTGACAAGCTGTAATAAGAGTTGACGTTTTCTCGCTGCTGGCAGGATTATTATCATAAAATACTTAATGTCCTCATTTTACAACTGCACTAAAATCTGTCCACTAAATTTGAGGTAAATTGATGCTTTAACATTGTATATCAAAAACTTGTTAACAAAACAAGCAAATTCAGGCACACTGGGTTTTTGTGTGTGCTTGTCTTGGCAGTGGTTCAAATATTGTTCAAAAAGCGAATATCGAATTCAGAAGGTGCGCGAGTGACAAACTACAGCCTACGGGGCCAGATCTGGAAACCATTTTTAGCAAGGTTAGACTGAGGTAGACTGACAGAAGCGAGGCAACTAATCTGTGCCATCAGACCCTCAAACCACCATAAAAAACGTACTTACACCATACTAGGTAAAGTGTAAGGAATGTACAGTCCCAAATAATATACTGTTGTTATGAATTATTCGTTTATTATTTATTACTGTATTCATGTCAAATGTGAAACCAATATATGATACAGACTCATTGTATGCAAAGCGACATATTCCAAATCTTCTTGTTGATGGTTATGGCTTTCATTTTCAAATATAAAATGTTCGCAATGTTGCAAAAATGACAGTTTTTGCAAGATGTGAGCCAATTATCAACAAAAACAAGAATTGATTTTATAACAAATGAATTAATGAGCTTGTTATGAATTAGTGTCACATTGTGAGTTTAACGACAAAAAAATAATAATTTGAACGATATTCACTTTTAACCAAGATTTGTGATTTAAAGTCTAAAACGGTGAAGATCCCTGAACAATGCCAGCGCTAGTGGCCCACACACACTGTATATCCAGACGCACAAACAATGCAAGAGCAGATCAAAAACTTCAAAGCAACACACATTACTCACGCCATCTGGCAGTATGTGTTGACACGCAGGTCTACCGCTGTGTGAATCTGCCTGTTGTGTATGTGCTTATGTGTGTACTGTATGTGTGTGTGTGCGTGTGTATGTGTGTAGGAGTGATTACTTACAAGCATTCGCATGTGTGTGTTGTGTGCAAACAAAGCTCTCCAGGACAAGCCGAGTTTGGCAGTTTGTTTTGTCACTTGAAATCAAACTTGTGTTCATGTTTGTTGTTTGTGTGTGCGAGTGCGTCATACAGAGCTGTGGAGGAGTTAGATCAACGTTTTGGCCGAGAAATCAACAACACTCCAAAGTTATTTTCCTTTACGGTGAATGAATATTTGACGCACTGAGAAAATGTGGTATTTATCAGACTTTGTTTGGAGTTTCATAGTTGTTTCATATGGTTATAGCATTCTAAAGGTAATTGTGCTTAAGAAAAGGGAAGTCAGTGGCTCACTTGGTAGAGCATTGGCCTTTAAGCCTGAAGGTCGTGGGTTCGAGCCCATCACAAGACCTACTTCAGGACTCCAACTGATGACTGCTGTTGTTGTGTCCTTGGGCAAGACACTTAACCCCACTTTGCCTGAAGCTCCCGCTGAAAGATCTCAGCTTCTGTGGACTCACCACCTGCAGGACGATCAGTGAGGGACTAGTGCTATGTGTACTGGGTGCAGCTCTGACTGTCACCCCCCCAACCCAGAAATGGATCAAGGGGAAAAAATGGATGGATGGAAAGGGATAGTGTATATACTGTATAGAGGTGAAACTTAGAAAATGTATTGTTGTTAATAGTTGTTCAATGTTAAACTAGTACTGTATATGCGTTGTACTTCACGCAGCTTGTAAAAACCCCTAACAAAATGAAAATGGACTGTAAGCCATAATCGGTAAATTCTAACAAAACAAAGTCATTTTTTAACGGGCAAATGGACTCCACCTGTATATTCGTAAATATATTATTACTCACTGGAACGTTCAAGACTGTTCTTGTAAAATAAGATACAATTAGGTGCATCTTGGTGATTTTTTTAAAGACCAAGTTATGTCAGCATAAATGTACATACATTTAAACATGCACTCAAAAGAAGATGAACTAATCAAAGAAGAATAAATAGTCTCCAAAATAGAATAAAAACCTTCTCTTGGCCTGTGGTTGTCACCCTGAGTTCCCCTGTGACACTCCAACAATATTTTCCACACCAAACTGGACATTGACATGATCCCTGCATCAAAAAACTATGAAATGTCCAAGAAGAATAGAAATGACAAAGGACAGCGCTACAGAGACAAATGAAATTGGCAGTAGTTCCCAAACTGTCAGTATTTGACAAGAAATGTCAATATGAAACTCTGCACAGAGCGATGTTTTGGCAGAGTCGACAGAATCTCTGCGTGTGTATATGTGTGTGTATTTGTGAGTGAAGTGTTAATGACAGATCTCAGAGGAGCCGGGAGCATCAAATCTGGGTTTTCATTCCCCCACTGGAAAAAAGAAAAAGAAACTTCACTGCCTATAGATGCTCGGCTTTGATGTTGCCTCTGCCGTGCGGCACACAGATAAACACGTCATATGGAGATGCTTATGGGTGATAGCTTTTTCCCGAAT